TCATGAGTAGGGCCCCAAGCATTCAATATAGTCCTTGGTGGGCACTTCCATTCCATTCGGTATTGTGTCTATCCCAAACCTTCAGCATTCCGCATATGGTAGATTCTGTTCACACAGATCGCCCTCTGCTTGTCTTAGTGGGTAATCAGAGTTGCATCACTTAATCCATTTCACTAATCTTCATTTTCCTGGTGAACTCATTCACTATGAAGGCTTGCACCTGTGTCATTTGTCTAGAAAGCATTATATTTTGCAAGAGTCTAAAGACATGGGGAACAGAGACTGTTCTTGTCTGGTTTCTAAGGGATAGATAGCATGATTCTTTCCAAGCCACTGTCATTCAGGACAAAGTTACAGTTGCTCTGGGGCCCGGGGCACATCATTGTCACCATGATGGACACATGGGAGCATGGTCAGGGCCACCGTTTGTTGTCAAACAAAAGACTTTTTATTCTTAGTAACATTGCTCTTGTGTCCCATTGAAGCATGAGTCCTTTGTCAGGAACTTGATGCTGAGGCCTTTCTTCTAACCCAGCTTTGTTTCCATCTCCAGATTGGTGGACAACATCTCACCCTGGTAAGTCTGGGATGAGGTCAAAGCATACCCTTTAGTACTGCAACCAAGATGTTAGATCGTCTTGAAGTCTGCGGTAAACCACAGCTCTTAAAGATAAGGAGAATGAAAGGAATTAAAAAGAGGGCCCATCTTTTCTATATCTATCCCCATTCACCCTCTCAGTCCACAAGAATGCATCACTTAATTCCTCCACCACAGAATCAATGAATAGGTTTGAAAAGAGCTCTCAGGATCATGTGGTCATGGGATTGGACTCATGAGTGGGACTCCAGGTTTTCAATAGGAGCCCTTGGTGGGCATTTTTGATCCCATTCAGAACACCACAGCATTGCCTAGATGCTGTGGTCCTAGATGCTGTGAGTCAGAACAGCAGAAATAGGGGTCGAGTTCACAGTGCTTCCTCCAGATTCTCTCTGTCCTTCAGAGAGATTGACACTCATATCAGCAAGCAATGGGCACCTGAAATAACCCCTGAGATGAGTGTTAGTTATGCCAGAAGAGCCTTGCTTCCGGGGTGCAGAAACTCTGCAGCAGAGATCCAAGACACTGGTCCCCACCATCATCTACTAGCTGGGGAGGAGAAGACCCAAAGGAAGCTTTTCACCATGAGTACAGTGGAAACCCGACTGTGGCTTTAACCAAACTTACCCAGTGACTGCCATTTTCCACCCACCCATCCTCTACCCCACCTGCACCTACCCCCATAAAGAAAAGCTACCTGGGAGGGCATCCTCTCTGTCTTCAGAAAGTGGATAGGGCTGTGTTGCCTCTGGGTGAGTTTCTCACTTGGATATGTGCCAGTCTCCCCCTCCTGCCAGGCAGCTGTGAGGTGTGAACTGGGGTTCATCAGCATTTCCACTCTTTTGATTGCAGTTTACAACGACTGTGGAGGTTTTCTGTATGGCCTGTCTGGGAACTTTTCAAGTCCACACTACCCCTGGAACTATCCCAACAATGCCAGATGTCTGTGGAACATTCAGGTCCCCAGCAACTACCAAGTGACTGTGTTCTTCCCAGATGTGCAGTAAGTGTGGGTGCAGAGCAGATGTTAGACAACATGGGGGGCTTTGAAATTCATGGCGGTGATAGTCTAGGCGACATTTAAAATACAGGTTCCACTTTTGACTAGTGTAGCCTAGGCAGAATGGAAAGGGTGTGTGAGAAGAATAATTTGAAAATAGTGCCAGGGTTGTCATGAACTTGCTGTATGGCCGTGGTGTGGCATGCATGTCCCTATCCTCAGATAGCAGACGGGGCTAGAATGCTTGCTTTCCTCATGTTGTTGATCAGGAGGTCGGTAGAGAATGTGAAAACACTTGCAACTGTTACTCAATGGGAGGGAAGATTTGTGGCTTAGGTAATGACAGTGTTTGGGGTACAATAGGACAGTCCTGCTAATGAGGACACCTACTCTGCAAAGCTCTCCTCAGAGCTGAGGCTCATTCCATGAGCCTCCAGGGGCAGGTGCCAGTTCATTTCCACTGAAGTGTGTAGGCTCCCAGCACTTACTGACTGAGCTGTGTTCCCGCGGTCTCCATCTTGGCTTCTGGTTGTGGTGGCCTTAGCAGTCTCTGCTGTGGTAGGACATGCACATTGTGTCAGTGTCATTGTTAGGGCCATACAAAGAATGCACCTGAAGCTCATCAGGTCCTATGCACATTGGCTCCTCGGTCTGGTTCTCTTCAGCTCCTCCGTGACAGTTACCAGCACGGTTTCATGAAGTACTCCCCCAACCCCAGTATCACATCTTGCGTTGTCCCCGCCTTATTACTGCCCTTTCAGTGGGCATGGAGTACGGTGTTCATCCTTGTAGATGAGAAACTCCAGGTCAGAGAGGTCCAGGGACTTGTCTTGTGGTGTTTGATTGTGGTTTGTTATGTTTTGTTAGATTTTTTAATTTAATGGGTATGAGTGTTTTGTGTGTATATGCATGTCTGTGAACTGCATGCATGTGCACAGAGCTCAGAAGAGGGTGTCTAATTCCCTGGATGTGGATTTATAAGGAGTTATGACTTGGAATTGAACCTTGGTCCTCTAGAAGAGCAGGCAGTGCACCGAACCACTGAGGCACCTCTCCAGCTCCTGCCTTGGGTTTACTCCTTCCATTTTTACACACATCAGAGATATTTGTTTTATCCTGAAGATAACCGGAGGCTCCTTGAAGGAGCAGATTAGAATGCTCTCAAGAGACCTTCCTTTGGTGATGTAGAAGGCTTTCATGAAGAGGTATTATAGATTGCACATCTGTGACCCCATAGGTAGACTGTAGAGCAGGCATGACATTGGAAGAGAGATGAGTTCCCTTTGCATTCCAGGAAGCCATCTAGTGTTTCAAATGCTGTATGTGTCACAGTTGTCAGGACAACGATCCCTGAGATGTGAATCCCCACATCACCACAGACACAGAGAAGGGACCTGTTTCTTCTGTGTCCCCAGGCTTGAAGGAGGCTGCCACTATGACTATATCCTGCTTTATGACGGGCCCCAACACGGCTCTCCTCTCATTGCTCGGGTTTGTGATGGGTTCAACGGGACATACACCTCCACACGAAACTTCATGTCCGTAGTCTTCATCACCGACGGCAGTGTCACGAGGAGGGGGTTCGACGCTCGCTACTACTCTACCCCTATCACCGTCAGCCCCAGTAAGTTTTCCTGTCAGCGTGAGTGTGCATTCGGGAACAGTGTCACTAGGAACCTTCTGCTCCTCAACTTCCCCAGGTCTGAGACATAAGCAATAAAGTGGCACCACTGGGTTCCATGATTCCATCCAATTGAGAGGGACTGTGGCCAGTGGGTCTTGAGGCTCTGGCTGCCAGAAAGAGAGTCTTGGGGCAGCACTGGCTGATGGGAGGTACACTGGCTTCACTGTCATTGTGAGAGAATGAAAAGGTCAAAGATTCTTCAAGAGATGGTGAGAAGTCAGTGCCAGGGGTGGTGGATGACACCAGGTTTTTAGCTTTGTGACCCTTGCAAAGTGTGGGACACTGACCATGTCCTCAGGCCTAGCACATCTGGCTTCTGTCTGAAGAAGGATAGATCAGGAGATGTGAAGATGGACAGAACATTCTATCAGGGGTTGAGGCCCCTGTCAGAGCTGCACATATACTCTGAGTGTAATGGTGAATGGCGGAGGAGTGTCATGTCCTAGGTCTCTGGTGCCATGGGGAGCAGGACTGCTAAGCTAAGGAGCCACTTTATGACACTGCTGCTCTTTGATGGTAGAGTTGCTTTACTTCATGGGAAAATGATCACTTGACCAAGCATTTTGCTTGTTTCAATTCCTGTCTCCAGTTCCCTCGCTGGGCTTTGTGTCTATATACAGTTCTTTCAGATACCAGGGGAGAATCTGTGTTCATGACAATAAATCCCTCCAGACCTGTACTTTATGTCCAGTGTGGGTGGAGATGTCCTCTGAGACATGAATGGTCAAATGGATTCTTTCACCTGGATGTGGGCTAGTCACCCACAATTCACGGGACAGCCAAAACCCCAGGATTCATCCTGTCAACACATCCAGTCATGTATTTTACCATGAGGTGGTTGCAGAGTTTGGGCTCTTGCTATATTCCTGGCAGTGCAGATGTCAGCAGTCCCCGCTCTGTCACAGCAGATGAATAAACCTCAGTGTCTGGTCTGCTCAGTGTTGTGGCCCCAGGAGCAGGCTGGGCACCTTCAAGGCTCTGACATGGCTTCTTTTTCTCACAGCTCCTCCATGGCCATTCCCGACCACTGCTGGTGAGTCCAGATCTCCCTCAAATCCTATATGTCCCTTGTTCCTACTCTGTCCAGAGCCACAGACAATAGTTCCAGCATGGTGGGGCTCTTCACTGTTCTGTCTGCCTCAGAACCTCCAGTGTGCTCCAGGAAGTACAGAGGTAGCTTCGGTTGACCCAGCATCGCCCTCTGCTTGTCTCAGTGGGATCACAGAGTTGCAGCACTTACTCCATTTTACCTTTCTGTGAAATCAATTGCTTTGGAAACCCTTTCCTATGCCATTTGTTTAGAAAGCAATAACTTTTCAGGAGTCACATGACATAGAAACCTAGGAGACTGTTCTTGTCCTGTTCCTAACTTGCACTTGGCATGATTTTAACCAAGCAACTGTCATTCGGGAGAAATTTATAGTTGCCCTGGTTTCCAGGGCTACCTCATTACCACTAAGATGGACCCATGAGAGCATGGTCAGGTCCGCTGCATGCCTTCCAGGAAAGAACACTTATTAAATTCCACGTGTCCCTCTTTCTCTGCTCTGCTTACAATACCAGAAGGCAGCTACAGAATGGGTAGGACTCTACAGAATTATTGCTGCTCTAGAACCTTTTGTGTTGTTCTTAAACTAGAAAATCGGCTTTTGAGGAGCTCACATCACCTTCCCACCCAGTCTAGTGGAATAAGAAAGTTTCAGTCCTTAACCTATATTACTAAGCAGTATTTTCCTGGTGCTGTTAGGCTCTGTCCTGGGCAAGGCATTGATCTTCTTGTCCATGGATTATGTGACATTATCATTTAGGAGAGAATTAAAGTTGCCAGTGGGGTCTAGGCCACCTTACTAACTCTATTATGAGTATCCATGAGCATGGTCTAGGGTATTCCTGGCTCTGTATCAGGTTAGTCTTTCTCTCCCAGCCACTATGACTTCCTGGCCCCTAAATTCCATGTCCCAGCCACTGCGGGTTTGACCCTTGATTCACAGTATCTCATTCTAATCCAGCTGCATATCTTTCTAGGACATGCTCCAGTGACCTACTTTATTCAACCAGACCCTGTACTCAATTATTGGATCAAATGATTAATCTATAAATCTGTTCAAAGCTCTCAGCATCCAATCACAGGCTTGGATTCATGAGCCAGCCTCCAAGTTAACTTTAGTAAATGATATTATTGGAGGACATTTTATATCTAAACCAAAACACTATAGCTCTACAAGAGGGTTGTAGCCTTGAACTCCATGAGTCAGGATAGGTAGAAATATTTGTAGAGTCATGTTCATGGCTCTACACTTCTCCAGAGAGATTCAACACCCAATCACCAAATCTAAACATCCTTGGGGAAAAAACCTTGAGATAGGGCTAAGACTCTCTTTGCATCCTAAGTCCACGAACTGCATAGATCAAGTGGTCTATTCCTCCTCATTGTCTGTCAGCCAATGACAGCAAGGGTTTAGTAGCTTAACCTGTGAGCTCTAGGTTCAAGGAAAGACCTTATCTCAAAACACACATCTGAGTTATGTACATGTGCCCAACCATCAATGAACATTCCATCACACACACACACACACACACACACACACACACACACACACACACACAGACATTCACCAGACATCCAGTCCCTCACACACGTTTTTCTAGCACTCAGGAGTCTTAGTTTGAGGATATTAAGTTTCAATCTAACCAAGGGTACATACACAGATATTGAATTTGTAAACACATCCACACACAGAATGCAAACAGGCATTCTAGACATTCTAGACCTCTGCCCGTGAATATTATATTGGCTCTCTCAGCTACTGCAATTAGATAAGAAGAGTTAATTAGCTATTTACGTGTGGAAACATTAATTTTGAGTTGATTTTTCTAGAGCTCAGCACGATTTAACTGTAGGCAAGTTGGAATTAGGGTGTGTAGTTTAGGACATTTCCTACAACAATAGCCTTTTAGGTCTGGAGAAGTCAGGACTACACAGATTCTAACTGGTCTCAGTCACAGGGCATTCCCCAGCACAGACCCTGAGTGCCATCCCATCAGCAGGTTTCACTGTACTGGCATGTGTTGGTTTTCCTGCATGGAGACTTAACGGAATGTTTCCCATTTTTCTCTCTCTTCTATGTATGGACAGCAGAGACGACGACTCCACCGCCTACCACCATACCAATAGGTAACACAAATTGTGTACCTCTCTCTCTGCCAGTTTTGTTCACGGCCTTGGCTTCTTTGACACAGTTAGGGGGTTAGGGTGGTAAGTGTGTATGTGCTGTGAACACTTAGAGAAGCTGGGGTGTCTCCTGATCCAGAGGGCTTCACTTCAAAGGGACACATGTCTCTATCCATTTCTCTCTGTGTGGAGGCCTCGTTCAGCATGCAAGTAGGTTCCGTACTCCATGGTGTCTGAATTTAGTGTTCTGTCAGAGGATACTGTGAGGTTAGAAAGGTCAAACCCTATCTCCTGTGTGGTCTCTCACCCATGAAGATGATGTGTGAGGTGGAATGAGAGGCAAGGAATGCTTTGTGATTTTATCCGCCAGAAAAAAAATCAACTCTTCTATGTTGTACAGTCTGTTGCCTTTGGCAGTTTGTCTCTTTCTTCACTCTTTATCTAATTCTGGAACATGGTTTCACGTATACTTGTCCCGTACATGGGTCCCTAAATATCTTGGGTAGAGAAAAGAATGTCTTGGATGGAGAGAGGTGGAAGAATAGTCTGATGTTCTGCATGGCCTTTGTTCCTTGGATGAGAATATGGGATGGACTCTTGTGCATAAGGCAGAAGTTCAGTTCTTGAGTGGATTCTGCACTGTGTGAAGAATATCTTTTTGTGTTCCCTTGTATCCTAACCTTATCCTTAACCTTATTTTTTTTTTTTGTCATTTTTCAGACACATGGCCTACTACTATAGTAGTTAATGTTCAGCTCCCTGTATACCTCAGAATGAAATTTCAATTAGCTAATAATGGATAGTAGTTAAGGAGTTTCCTGTCAGACCTATAATCCTTTGTGTTTAATAGTACAGAAAAAAGTTTCCTGTAGAGTCTAGTTGTGGATCTGTTGTTGGTAGGAAATCCCTATTCTGCTCACAGGCACAGGCAACAATTACAGAATGGGTGGAGCTCTTTAGTATTCCGTCAGTGCCAGAACCTTCAGCATTTTCCATCAAGCACAAAGGTAGATTCTGTTGAGCCAAAATTGTTCTCTGCTTGTCTCAGTGAGCGCCCAGAGTTGCAGCACTTACTCAGTTTTGCTAAACTTTGTTTTTCTGATGAAATCATTTGCAATGGAGGCTTCCCCCTATGCCATTTGCCTAGAAAGCATTATCTTTGTGAAGAGTCATGTGACATTGAACAGCAGAGATTGTTTCTGTCCGGTTTCTAAGGGATAGATGGCATGATTCTTTTACTAAGCAACTGTCATTCAGGACAAAGTTATAGTTGCGCTGATGTAAAGGGCCAACTTATTTGCACTATTATGGACACATGAGAGCATGGCCACCATACTCTTAAGGAAAAGATACTCTTTCTCAGTCACAGTGTTTCTGTGACCAATGTTTTCTGGGTCAAACCATGGGTCCCTTGATACACAGTAGCTTGATGGCCTGGCATTCCTTGTAATCGAGCTTTGTTTCCTTCTCTAGATTGGTGGACAACAACTCCTTATTTTGGTAAGTTTGGGAGAAGACCAGAGCATTGGAGAAAGACAGGGATTCTGGGATCTTGAAGCCTGCGGTGCAGCACAGCTCAGAAAAATAAGGAGAAAGGAATGAGAAAGAGGGCCTGTCTTTCCCTGTACATCCCCAGTGATCCACTCTGTCCACAAAAATCCAATTTTGTTTACTCCATCACAGAATTCATGAAGAGATTTGGTGTGAGCCCTGAGAATCCAATCATGGGGTTAGACTCATGAGTAGGGCCCCAAGCATTCAATATAGTCCTTGGTGGGCACTTCCATTCCATTCGGTATTGTGTCTATCCCAAACCTTCAGCATTCCGCATATGGTAGATTCTGTTCACACAGATCGCCCTCTGCTTGTCTTAGTGGGTAATCAGAGTTGCATCACTTAATCCATTTCACTAATCTTCATTTTCCTGGTGAACTCATTCACTATGAAGGCTTGCACCTGTGTCATTTGTCTAGAAAGCATTATATTTTGCAAGAGTCTAAAGACATGGGGAACAGAGACTGTTCTTGTCTGGTTTCTAAGGGATAGAT